TAAGCAGGTGTAAATGCGGAAGCTAGCAAAGCAAACCTCAAAAGACCACGAGTAAGAAGACAACGAGAAATATACCAAAAGACACAAAGATTTAACGTGGTTCGGTCAATCGACCTACGTCTACAAAGGAGATGAGCAATCCACTATAAATATGAGATATGAGAGTACAAAATACAGAGGGAAACAACCTCAACCAATTCACTCAGAATACACGGGAGGTTCACACAAGTGATAACGTATCAAACTTGTGACCCACAAATTCTCCCTCTAACCAAAACTCTCAAAGCCCTTAAGACTACATTGTGAATGCTGATTAAGTTAGAAGGAATATCTCTATTTATAGAATCCTAAATCTTTTCCTACCAAAAAAGGATTAGTCAATTCAAAACCTTTTCCTAAGAGGAAAACCTATTTGTGGTAAGAAATCAAGGCAAATAAAACCCAACAAATCTCCCCCTTGGCCTGAATTTCTGACAAAATAAATTTGTCCACCTTCTTCACTTAATCCTCAACAACTTGCTTCTCCTCTTCATAATCTCCTTTGCAAAATTTATGTCTCAACACAAAAAATCTCTCTGAAACAATTTCTCCAACAAAATCTTCATTACTGTCAAAAAGGTTACTGCTAGAACTTCAATCATCGATTATCGAACCACTGAACCTGACTCCGTCATTGAATCTGGCTGTGATACCACTTGTTAGGACCGGAAATAAACAGGTGTAAATGCGGAAGCTAGCAAAGCAAACATCAAAAGACCACGAGTAAGAAGGCAACGAGAAATATACCAAAAGACACAAAAATTTAACGTGGTTCGGTCAATCGACCTACGTCCACAAAGGAGATGAGCAATCCACTATAAATATGAGAGTACAAAATACAGAGGGAAACAACCTCAACCAATTCACTCAGAATACATGGGAGGTTCACACAAGTGATAACGTATCAAACTTGTGACCCACAAATTCTCCCTCTAACCAAAACTCTCAAAGCCCTTAAGACTACATTGTGAATGCTGATTAAGTTAGAATATGTCTCTATTTATAGAATCCTAAACCTTTTCCTACCAAAAAAGTATTAGTCAATTCAAAATCTTTTTCTAAGAGGAAAACCTATTTATGGTAAGAAATCAGGGCAAATAAAACCCAACAAATCATTGATATACCTTTTCGTGTTACAAGTTTTGATGCATCTAAAGCCCAAGGATTTCTAACAAGGTATACAGTCCTCACGGCTAGTGAGATTAAAGAGGAAAGTCCGTGTCTTGGTCGAGGAGGATCCTTCAATTTCAGAGCTGGGGAAGCAAGATGATCAAATCTGAAAAACTCACAGTTTCAACTAAAATTAGCGCCAATTACTTTAAATATCCACGTTGATCACAACCAAATATTGTTTCATAGACGCAGTTAGTTTAGGTCATTATTCTTGTCATCTTCTGAATTATCAAAGGAATGAAACGTTATTAACATACGCCATGTTGACATTTCAGAAAGTATCAAGTATTGGTTAAACTTCAAACTCCTAACTGTATATAACAGACAGTTTAGGAGAACTCAAAATAAAAAAGTAAAGTTAATAACTGAAGAAAAGATTAACCTTAAGATGAATCAAAGTATCTTTAATACAATCCTTATGTTATCTTAGAACATGCATCTAAAAATAAGAAAATTCGTCAATTTAAACACGAGTTGTCAAAATATAGCATAAAAAGTTAATTAATTCGCTAAATCCACAAGATAGGAATACTTTAGCAGGAACCAGTGCAATGTGTTGTAACACACAACGACATCACCCCCTTATAAATCCAAGTTTGGATCAATATTGAGATCAAAGAAGGTCCTTTGCAAGAGTAGAGCGTCAATTTGCAACTATTGAAATCAAGACGATAGTATATGAAAACAAATTTGTTTTAAACTTTAAATTAATTATAAAAGCACCTCATTCTCAAAGAGAGAATCATCATAACCTATGCTTGTATCTCTGCGTAGCCCATTACCTCAATCGCTGCTTTGGTTGGTTCTCCCACTGCCTCTTCCACCACGATTACGACCGCTGCCACCAACTCTGCCTCCACTCCTGCCGCCACCGCTAACTGAAGATTTACAGAGTTGTTTGTAGAGTAAACATAGAAGACTAATCTTTCATTAATTGAGAAGAAAAAGAGTATTTTTACATGAAGCTAGATTACAACTATTTATACACTAAACTTTACCTCTAATTTCTGTTAGACTGTAACTAACTTCCCGACTCCTTTAATTAACTACTAACTAATAAATGTAAGAGTCATTACTCTTTGAATTTCTGTCAACACTCCCCCTCAAGCTTGGAGGAGTAAATATGTTTAGAACTCCTAGCTTGGACAATAATAGTTCATGTTGTACTCTATTTAACCCTTTGGTCAGAACATCATCTGGCGGATTTTGAGTTGGTATATAACTGATGTCGATAAGTCTTTGTTGCAACTTCTCTCTAATGAAATGACAATCAATCTCAATATGCTTGGTACGTTTATGATAAACTGGATTGGCTGCTAATTGAATTGCAGACTTGCTATCACTGTAAATTTTTACTGGAAGAGCTATTTCAGCTTCCAAACTTTTTAACAGCCCAACTAACCATACTAATTCAGTCACAGTGGATGCCAAGCTCATGTACTCAGCCTCAGCTGAACTTCTTGATATGGTTGTTTGCTTCTTAGACTTCCAAGACACCCCATAGACTCTCCTAACTTGACCACAAGAGCAGTCACAGACTTCCTTGTTTTAGGGCATGCTGCCCAATCTGCATCACAATAGGTTGTGATCTCAGTACTTGAACTACTGGATAATAACACACCCTGACCTGGTTATTTGTTTATGTATTTGACCACTCTTAGTGCCGCATCCATGTAAGACTTCTTAGGTTCCTGCAAGAATTGACTTAATGTCTGTACGCCAAATGAAATATCAGGTCTAGTCATGTTCAAGTATAGAAGTTTTCTAATCAAATTTCAATAAGCACTAGGATCAACCAGCTTATCTCCTTGGTTTTCCTTTGTTTGATCATCATATTGTTTTGATGTTAGCTTGACATTCACATCCATAGGAATGCCTGATGGCTTAGCACCAGATAATTCAACTTCAGCAAATAGTTGGAGTGCGTACTTCCTTTGGTGCATAACCATCCCAGCCTCACATCTTGCGAATTATATTCCAAGAAAAAATCTTAGTTCTCCCAAGTCCTTCATCTTGAATACTTGTTGTAAGGCTTCTTTTGTTTCTTTGATAAGCTTAAGACTACTTCCAGTAACCAAGATATCATCCACATACACTAAAATTGTTGTAGTTCCCTCATATGTTTTTCTTGTAAAGAGAGAATGATCATGTTGACTTTGAGTGAAGGGGATATTTTTTAATGCCTCTTTAAGTTTTTGATTTCATTGTCTAGGTGCTTGTTTAAGACCATATAAAGACTTAACCAGTCTGCATACTTTCCTCTCCCCCTGACTGTGACTGGTAAATCCTTATGGCAATGTCATGTATATTTCATCCTGTAGATCACCATTTAGGAAGGCATTATACACATCCATTTGATGACTGTCATTTCCTTGCCACAGCTAAAGCCAGTATAGTTCTTACAGTCACCATCTTTACCACAGGAGAAAAAGTTTCTTTATAATCTATCCCCTTTTTCTGACTGTATCCTTTTGCCCCTAACCTTGCCTTATACCTATCTACTTCACCAGTCGACTTATATTTTATTTTGTAGATCCATCTACATCTAGTTGCAGTCTTTCCTTTAGGCAACTCAGACAAATCCCAAGTATTGTTGCTTTGCTAAGCAAGTATTTCAGCCTTCACTGCTTCTATCCACTTTGGATCTTTACTAGCTTCTGCATATGTAGCTGGTTCTTGAAGCATAGACGTTGATGCTATAAAAGTCAGATAGGATTTAGACAAATATTTGTAAGCCACACAATCAGAAATGGCAAACTGTATTTCCTTGTTAATGTTTAATGAAACAAAATCCTTCATCCATATTGGTGGATGAGCTCCTTTTGAAGACTCTCTTGTGACCACTAGCTCTATAGGTTTTTGACTTTCAGCACTCTCAGGATCAGGTTCTTTTAACATTTGATCTAACATTGGATTATGCTCAGGTTCTTATGGCATATCTGTTTCTTTTTCACACTCTACCCTTATACTACCACCTCTTGTGACACTGTCACTCCATTCTAAGTTCGTCAAATCCAACTTATATCATTTACAAAAGGACCTGCATCATCTGTTGACATTCCTGATATAAATGGAAACATAGACTCTTGAAACCTTACATCTCTACTTACAAAGAAATTCTTGGAAGCCCAATCTAGCAATATATATCCTTTTTGAGTTTCTGAATACCCAATAAGGACTGAAGCTTTTGACCTGGATGCTAATTTATCATTTTCTGATAGATTCTTAACATAGCACAAGCATCCTAATACCCTTAGATGTGATAACATTGGCTTATTTCCATAGAGCTTTTCATATGGAGATTGTCCTTCTAGCACCTTACAAGGCATCCTATTTATCAAATAAATTGCTGCAAGAACACACTGCCCCCAATATATCAAATGAATGTTTCCCTGAAACCTTATGGTCCGAGTAACCTCTAACACATGTCTATGCTTCCTTTCTGCCACTCCATTTTGTTTGTGGAGTGTAAGGACAAGACCTCTGATGAACTATTCCTCTATCTTTGAACAACTTATCACACATAGAATTAACAAACTCTGTCCCATTATCTGACCTTACCTTCTTTACTATTTTACCAAACTGAGTTTTAACAAACTGCAGAAAATGTGAAAAAGTAACAACACATACATCAGACTTATTTTTTAACAGAAACAACCAAGTCATCCTTGAGTAATCATCAATCACTGTAAGAAAGAATCTATTACCATCAAAAGTAGTTTTTTTGTATGGACCCTATACATCCAAATAAACCAAATCAAAATACTCAATATTTCTAATGCTACTACTTGGAAACACAATTCTTGTTTGTTTTGCACAAGGACAAACATTACATTTATTCAAAGCTTTGTTCACAACCTCTGGATTGACAGAAAATAACTTGCTCAAAGTATGTAAGGATATGTCTCCTAGTCTTTTGTGTCATACATTCACTTCTTCTTCTGTCAACTTCTTTGCTTCTTTACTTCTCCTTTCTGCCAAACAAGATTGAAACTGCACTTGCCCTTGTAAGATTTTTCAACAGCAAATACAACCCAGCCTCTTCCTTACCAATCTTCCTCACCTTTCCATTGTAGAGTTCCTGAATCACACAGAAATGTGGAAAGAAAGTGAATAAGCATCCTAATTCCTTTGTCATCTGACTGAATGATAACAAATTATATTTGAACTCTGGAATATGAAACACATTTGTAATCACACTCCTTGGGGATATTAAGCAAGACCCAGTGTGAGTTACATAAGCCACTTCACCATTAGGCAAACTTACAGATTTTGGATTTTTGACCTTAACTACAGATTCCTTAGCTAACATCCCAATATTAGAGGTCATATGGTTGGTGGCACCTGTGTCTATAATCCATGTCTCACTATGTTTAGAACTAATAGAGCTTTACCTGCTGAATTAGCTTGAACTCCATGAGCTGCACTCCCTGATATATTTGTACAGTCTTGATTTTGGTTAAGCATTCTTAGAATTTGCTATATTGGTCTTTGGTAAACTTAAACCCTTGCAGATGATTTTCAGTTTCACTTACTACACTGGTGTTAACTTGTGACTTTTGTCCTTTTACCCTTAGTAGCATTCTCAGAGTTGAATGAAGACTCATTTGACATCCCATCATATCCATCTCTTCTTGCAGTAGTAAACTCATTTCCAGTCATGTAAGCATTGTGCCCTGCTCCATTAATCACTTTTCTCTTTGACTTGAAGTCATGAGGATATCCTATCAAATTGTAACCTTGTTCTTTAGAATGTCCTTTGCGTCTACAGAATTCACACACTAATCCCAAGTTTTTCTTGAACCTGTTATATCCTTTATTTTAAGACTGACCTCCAGTTCTTGAATACATCACTAGAGAATCAACTCCAGTAGAACAAATGAATTTCAATCCTATATTAACACCACTAGAAGTCAATTTTTGACATTCATCATTCACCACCATTGCATAAGCCTCATTGACTCCAGGAACTGGACACATCAACAATATTTGCCTATCCAAACGATTCATTCAATCCCATCAGGAATTGATAGAGTTTTTGTCTATTTAGATGCTCAACAACACCACTCGACCTCTCATAGTCACACCCAGGAGATGGCATCAAGGTTTCATATTCATCCCACAATTCTTTAAGCTTTCTAAAATATATAGACACAAAATCTGTACCTTGTTGCATTGTAGCGATTTCTTTATGCAAACTGAAAGTTCTTGATCCATCCAATCGATCGAATCTTTCTTTCAAATCACTCCAGACTCCTTGAGTAGATGTTGCAAATACCCCTGCATACAGACTTTTGGACACAGAATTCAGAATCCACGAGAGAACTATAGAATTTTCTCTTTCTCACTAACCCCCTAGTTCTGCACTAACATCATTCTTTCTACAGGATCCATCCACTAATCCGTTTTTGTTTCTTCCAACCAAGGCCAATCGAATGGATCGACTCCACACAGCATAGATTTTGATCCTAAGAAGTTGAAACGAGATGAGGTTAATCCCACTAACGTCATCAGGACTTAAAGTATAGAGGATGATTATAATCCATTGTTTGATTTCCAGGTATCACAGGTGTAGAACTTCCATTAGCCAAAATTGCAATGTTTGCCATTGATCTTTCTATTTTCTGATTTATATTGCAGAAGCTTGATGAATTTTCATATTCTGATCTTTAGAAATCTTGGAAACTTGATGAATTTTTCAGATTCTGATCTTCAGAAATCTGATCCAAAATATGCTTGATGAATTTACAGAGTCTGATCTTCAGAAATATGATCTAAACATTGAACTACTCAGACTTTGATTGATTCAGACTTTGATCGGTGCTCTGATACCATGAAGATTTACAGAGTTTTTGTAGAGTAAACATAGAAGACTAATCTTTCATCGATTGAGAACAAACAGAGTACTTTTACATAAAGCTAGCTTACAACTATTTATACACTTAACTTTAACTCTAATTTTTGTTAGACTGTAACTAACTTCCTGACACCTTTAATTAACTACTATCTAATAAATGTAAGAGTCATTACTCTTTTAATTTCTGTCACAAACACTAACACCAGTTCTTCCACCATTGCTAGCTCCAAATCCAGCATGTGGCCGTGAACTTAGAAAGTAATATTCCATTCTTCCTCGACTTTGAGTTATATCTGGCCTTCCATGTGAACGAATGTATTGGGGATCTTGTAGAATTTACCTTCAGTTTGTTCTGTGTCATCCAATTCAGAGTCTGCCACAATCATCTCATCGGTCTAGTTTTGAGGATCATGCACAATTCTTTTCAAATTATATTTAACATAATGAACTTTCACGTCGGTACCCAATGCTATATCACAAGCCTGGTCAAAATACATTAGCATGCTCCGATATGTCTTGTACTCAACAACATATTTGGGTAACCTCCTAAAAAGAATCGACTCAAATGAGGTCGAATAACATCTCGTCTCCACCTTGTCAATATACCTTTCATCAATTTTATCGATATTCTTGTGTGAAAAAATCTTGAGTATATGACAACAAAGTATACCTCTAGACTCAAACCTTTTCCAACTACAACTAAAATAATTACAGATAGGCGTATATTCAATTGTGTACTCGAATGGATTGCCGCCATTTTTATGCATAATTGAATAATCTCCAATGATGAATTTTTCAACACCGGGGATAGCTTTGTGTGGTGCTAACTTCACAATGATACAGTTTTCTTAATTGTATCTTGAAAAATTCATACACCATGCGAGTGTAACATTGAGTTACCTATTCCTCCCACTTGAAGAGTAAGTGACTTATAATATGAAATCCCCAGGACCGATACTCTGCTTCCAACTCTTTCTCATGCTTAGCTCTTATAGCTAATTCATATTGGTGTACAAATAGCTTCAAGGTGCCTTGACGAGAGATGAATCCTTCAAAAAAAAAATACATGCATTCCCTCACTTCTTTGTGTAGATAACATACCAGCCCAAAAGAATATATCAAGGTACGCAGTAATTCATTTCTCCTTCTCAATATAAAAGCTTGTTGAAGTAGTCCCTTGTTTGAAATATATTCTGCCCATCTTATCTCAAAGTTTTCAATACTAATACTATCAAGGATCATGGACTTGAATTCTCCATGTGCAATTTTAGAATTGAGAAGCTCAATCCAAGTTCTAAAAATCAATTTGTAACTAACGATATCTTCATGAGACAAGAGAGCACATCCTAGTAGTATCGATTGCATTTGGTTATTTGATGCCAACAAAGCACATGTCATATTGTAGAGATTCACAAGATGTGTCGTATCAAAGCATATCGCATCATGGAAGTGCTCATAAGCATCCTTAAAATGTGAATGCACCCATACCATATTCTGCAGCCTTCTACAATCCTTCGGAGTGCAACTCAAGTTTTGTGGTCCACCGCGTTGAACCTCGGTAAGCCTAATGTTCTTGGAGGGTCTAATCCCAGAGCGATCGTGAGCTACAAGATCCCTTTTCAAAAATTGACTAATTGACCTGTGACAAACCATTAATCGAGCTATGGTAGGAATAAATCATGATTTTGTCATTGTAAACTTTAGTGAAACGCCAAAAATCATAGTTATCAACAATGGTTGTGATCCTAGCTTCACAATTGTTACTCTTTGTGCTATACTTAACTTTGTGATTCCTAGTTCGATCACAACAATAAGTTAAATACTTAAAAGTGTCATCCAACTATCTTTTTGGAATTTCTTTTCACAATAGAAAATCTTTTCCATCCTACGTGCATGCTCTTTGCAGAATGTAAACAAAGAATTTTCATCTTTAAATTGTGTTGCCAATCTGTGTTAAGAAAATCAGAAATTACAGGTTGTAATAAATCATTCAGAAACACGAAGTAACTGAGATTTTTAGAATCAGTAAATAAGATGAACAGAAATTTATTTGTAAAAAATAATTTAATCTGTAAAACTTACCAGAATGTTGAATACTCTTTTATTTCTCTTTTTAGGAAGAAAATCAAGTCCACTGAATTCACAGTGTCTCCTTAAGGAAATTATTCTCCTCTAGTATCCGAGGTTTGATTTGGAATATAACCTCCCATGATAAAATGATCTTAATCAGTAGAGTATAGATACCAAAAACTCTACTGTCAGCGAATCAATCCACAGCAGGAAAGTACACGAAGAAATATATGTTTTTAAGAAAAAGGAAGATCAGAAAATTCGTTAGTAAATATTCTGAATACTGAATGGTATTTATAGGCAAGAATAATATATTCTGAAAGGTTGCTACCCTTTCAGAATTGACACGACCATTAATGAAAGGTTGCAAACTTTCAAATGGTATTGACTGTTCCTGAAAGTTGCAACCTTTCAGAACAGTCATGGAAGGAAATTTTGAATATAACGGAATTTAAAACGGGTCACTCGCGCGGATCCGAGTCGGGTCGGGTTAACTAAAAAGTTGAAAACATTTCGGTTAAATTCTGTTATCAACTTATTTATTGAAAAATAATTTTTGGCCATTTAAATTAGCCGAAGCCGAAGCGAGTGAGCGACGACGACGACGGCGCGAGGGGGGTCCCTCTTTCCAACCCTTTTAACAATTAATAGGAGTGTTTATTTATTTAAACTCTCCTATTTTCATTTCCATTACCGATGAGGGACTATTACCTTTTTCAATAAAGCATTAGAGGACTTTTCAAGTTCCCAACCTTTCAAGTTCTAAACTTTTTAAATTTCTCTCCTTCCCTCTATTTCCCATCAATTCTTGCTACATACCCAACAATCCCCCACATTGATGGGAAATAGTTATAACATAGGAATGCACGGACAATTGTATACTTTACAAGCAAGGATTAATTGCATCTGGATAAAGTAGGTTTCCCCTTGGACTTTCCATAGTGAACATATGTCGGATATACTCGGTCAATCGGTAGATGTGATATCTTTGAACCGTCGAACTTTGGTGTATACCTAGACAACCATATGTCACACAATTAACCCTTTACTGTTTATGATTCTTACGGTTGTGTTCGTTTCAGCCATGAACACCTCCTGGTTTCATGAGTGTATAGAGAATAGGCTTTTGACATAAAATTCTCTTTGAAGCGGCTTCCACTTCACACTCACATAGGTAATTTCTAACCGTGTCATCTCGTAGATACACTATTTGGTCAAATCTACCAAACTTAGCAAATCATTAAAAACTTTAAGCTTTATTACCTCATTAACAAGCCTTAAAGTTTTAACCTTTTCCTGAACATTGTCTTCATCATGAGAATGGATTGAGTTAATTGACAATGTCGAACCGTCAGCCACAAACCCATTCCCTTAGATGATCTTTCAACTGCCTCTCTCACTAGGCCTTTCGTTAGTGGATCTGACACATTATTGCTTGACTTTACATAGTCAATTGTGATAATTCCACTAGAGAGCAGTTGTCTTATGGTGTTATGTCTACATCGTATATGACGAGACTTCCCGTGTACATAACGCTCCCTGCCCTACCTATTGCTGCTTAACTATCGCAATGTATTCAAATTGGTCCAACAGGTTTGGGCCAGAATGGAATATCCTCTAGGAAATTCCGGAGCCATTCCGCTTCTTCACCAGCCTTATCCAAAGCAATGAATTCAGATTCCATTGTGGAGCGAGCAATACATGTATGTTTGGAAGATTTTCAAGAGACAGCTCCTCCACCAAGTATGAATACATAACCACTCGTGGATTTTACATCATTTGACCCGGTGATCCAATTTGCATCACTATATCCTTCAATCACAGCAAGATATTTATTATAATGCAAAGCATAATGTTGTGTCCATTTTAGATAACTCAACACACGTTTCATAGCCATCCAGTGAGTTTGATTCAGATTACTAGTGTACCGACTCAATTTACTAATAGCACATGTTATATCTGGTCGCGTGCAATTCATAATATACATCAAACTTCCCAACACTCTGGCATATTCCAATTGAGAGTCACTTTGACCTTCATTCTTTTTAAATTTATAACTTAAATCAATTGGAGTTTTGACTACATTGAAATTCAAGTAATTGAACTTATCCAATACTTTTTCAATATAATGAGATTGAGATAGTGCCAGTCCTTGGGGAGTTTTGATAATCCTGACCCCTAAGATCAAATCAGCAACTCCTAAGTCTTTCATATCGAACTTGCTGGACAACATGCGCTTAGTAGCATTTATATCGTCAATTTCTTTACTCATTATTAACATGTCATCAACATACAAACAAACAATGACTTCATGATTCATAACGTTTTTAATGTAAACACATTTATCACATTCGTTAATCTTGAATTCATTTGCCAACATTATTTGATCAAATTTAGCATGCGATTGTTTGGGTGCTTGCTTGAGTCCATAAAGTGACTTCACAAGTCTGCACACTTTCTTTTCTTTACCGGGAACTATAAACCCTTCAGGTTGTTCCATGTAAATTTCTTCTTCTAATTCTCCATTTAAGAAGGCTGTCTTTACATCCATTTGGTGGATTTTAAGATCATGCACTGCTGCTAGTGCTATTAACATCCTAATTGATATTATCCTTGTTACTGGAAAATATGTATCAAAGTAGTTCAGACCTTCCTTTTGTCTGTACCCTTTGACTACCAGTCTAGCCTTATATTTTTCAATAATCCCATCAGGTTTCATTTTCCTTTTAAAGATCCATTTTGATCCTAAAGGTTTATTTTCTGGAGGAAGATCAGTCAATTCCCAAGTGTGATTGCTTAAAATTGATTCAATCTCACTATTGACTGCTTCTTTCCAATAAGTTGACTCTGACGAAGACATAGCTGCTTTAAATGTTTAAGGCTCATTTTCAAGCAATAGTGCTACAAAATCTGGTCCGAAAGAAACAGATTTTCGTTGTCGAGTACTTCGCCTAGGTTCCTCACTAGTTAGAATATTTTCCATTGATTCTTCTCGTGGTCGTTTAGGTCTTTCACTTGTTGACTCACTTTCAGTTTTATACGGATAAATATTTCCAAAAAACTCTGCATTATCTGATTCAATTATCGTATTAACATGAATCTCAGGATTATCAGATTTGTGAACCAAAAATCGACAGGCTTTACTATTCACAGCATACCCAATAAAGACACAATCTATTGTTTTTGGTCCAATTTTAATCCTCTTAGGTAAAGGAACCTCTACCTTGGCTAAACACCCCCACACTTTGAAATATTTCAAGTTGGGTTTTCTTCCTTTCCACAACTCATATGGAATTGATTGTGTTTTTCTATTGAGTATTTTATTAGCTGTAAGGATGGCTTCCCCCCAAAGATTTCGTGGTGAACCAGAATTGATCATTAAGGCATTCATCATTTCCTTTAATGTTCTGTTCTTCCGTTCTGCCAAACCATTTGACTGTGGTGTATAAGGTGCAGTAGTTTGATGAATAATACCATATTCCAAACATATCTCTGCAAAAGGAGATTCATATTCTCCACCCCTATCACTCCGAATCATTTTAATCTTTAGATTCAATTGGTTTTCCACTTCATTTTTGTATTGCTTAAATGCATCAATTGCTTCATCCTTACTATTAAGCAAATATACATAACAAAATCGAGTGCAGTCATCAATAAAAGTTATAAAATACTTTTTCCCACCACGAGATGGTGTTGACTTCATATCGCATATATCTGTGTGAATTAAGTCTAAAGTTTTAGAATTTCTTTCAACAGACTTGTAAGGATGTTTAACAAACTTACTTTCCACACAAATTTCACATTTCGACTTATCGCACTTAAAATCAGGCAATACTTCTAGATTAACCAATTTTCCGCAAGGCTTTGTAATTTACATGTCCCAAACGGGCATGCCATAAATCACTTAACTCCAATAAGTAAACAGAAGCAGAATTTTTATTAATACTGTCAATAACCATTACATTTAGTTTGAAAAGACCCTCATTGAGGTAGCCCTTTCCTATAAAATTTCATTCTTACTTATTACAGCTTTATCACTAACTAGGACACACTTAAACCCGTTCTTAACGAGTAGTGCAACAGAAACTAAATTCTTTCTAATAGTAGGGACATGCAGAACATTGTTTAAAGTCAACACTTTGCCGGATGTCATTTTCAACATTACTTTCCCAGTTTCTGCAATCCTTGTTGTTGCTGTGTTTCTCATGAATAAATCTTCATCGTACTCAGCAAGAGTGTACGTTGCAAAGGCTTCTTTTGCAGAGCAAATATGTCTAGTAGCACCTGAGTCGAGAAACCACTCCTTGG